CCAAGATCCTTGCCTATTTAATTGCGGGCATAGAATTCAGAATGCAAAGTTGATGAACAGCAATTTAATTTTGTTTTAGCTTCACTATTCAGTGTGAGCGCCTGTGATTTAATTGCTGCCTGCTGATCTAAACTTGGTTTTGGGCAGACTTACTGTTTCTTCAAGGATTTTTCTGTTGTGCTCATTGGAACATTTTACATAACACTAAGAATTTTCCTTCACGTCTTCCCTAGACAGGAGGCTATTTTGACACTTTTTTTCTAGACACTGCAAACTAATTCACAGAGGTATTAAAATAAAAAATATTAAGTAATTTGGTATTAATAATTATTTGTCATTTAATGTTTTGGTGTCAAATCTGAGGTGCCTGTAATTCAGCATTACCTAGTACTGTTTGGTCATAACATAGACTGAGTAGTAACATACAAATGTAGCAGAACAATGAAGATACTTGTCCCCAGTTGTCCAAGTACCACACAGGAGCACATTTCATACACAGCTTTTTCTCTATGGATGTCAAGATATCAAGCATTTTGAAAGTTAGAATTTATGTACAAAATGTTTAAGTAAAGAAACCTTATATCTATCACTTCTTAACACTTGAGCACCTACCCTTGCTGTGTGGTCTGGTTTCTAACGAGATCTTCTCTACAGTCTGATCCTTCACACACTTCTGTAGAAACAGCACAGGCTTTTGCTACAGACTCTTAGCAGAAAATTTATACATGCTTATTTTGTTACCATAAGCTTGCTGAAACCAGTTCTCTTTGTAGCTGTAGTGGAGAACAGAGAAGGTAAATCAGGTGACAAAAAGCAGCTTTCAACTCTGGCACCACTGCAGACAAGTCTTCTAGTTTTATCTGCAGTTCCTCTGCATTCCCCAATTCTTTGAAGCTGTCTTGGTATTTCCTTGACTTCTGCTGCTGTTGCTCTTGTCACTGTGACATAAATACTCACTGTAGCTGCTGGAGTGTCTCAGTCTGGTTTTCAAATCTCTGTCTGGTTTAACCAAATCCAACTGAAAAAGAAGAGATGTTCTATGACTAGAAAGTGTATTTAATTGCTATCAGAACTTTGAGAACTTTCCTCAGCATTAATTGTTGAAGATTTTTAGTGTCCCTTGAAAAGATTGTTAAATTCTGAACCTTAGAGAAAGAAAGAGCTTGCTGTAATCTCAAGCACCACAATTGCTGTACATTAGCAATGGAGTTTTGTTGCTGACAGTGGGGCAGTAGAGATCTCTGTCAATAACACAGGTAATCTTGGAAAAAAAGACAAAATAAAACAAAGAAACAAACAAATGAAAATAATTTTTTAAAAAGGGAAAAACTTAGAATACTTTAGGGCATGTATTAGTAGTATATGCTATTCCTGATTTTTATAAACAAATGAATATAAAAAGGTTTGCCACACAGGACTTTTTCGTGTTTTTAAGGTATGGCATTATACATGCTGGTGGCATAGGAAAGTACCTCAGTGACTGGATCCTTCAGGGGGAGCCTCCATTTGACCTGATAGAATTAGATCCCAACCGCTATGGAAAGTGGACCACCACAGAATACACAGCAGCCAAAGCCAGAGAATCTTATGGTTTCAATAACATTGGTAAGAAGGTTATTTTTAAAAATACATTTATACCCTAAAAATGGATTCCAACAAAGCTGCATCTAGATTTTTTCTGTTTATATCTGTACTAATATATGTTCTGTCTTGGTGATATACACTATTTAGTATGTCATGGCTTTTGGTTTGTTGTTTGTTTGTTTGTTTTTTCACCCCTCTAGTTGGTTACCCTAAAGAAGAAAGATTTGCTGGGAGACCAACAGAGAGAACCAGTGGGCTGTATGATTTGCTGAAATCAAAATGTTCAATGGGCTTTCATACAGGATGGGAGCAACCTCATTGGTTCTACAAACCTGGAGATGAGACTGGATATAAGTAAATAAAAATTATCTCCCCACTTCCCTCCCCACTCTCCACTCCCCTCCCCCTCCAATTGTCTTGACTACAAGGGCCAGCGGAGTTAAATTTAATAAGAAGCACACATTTATCAATAATTTCATATCTATTAGGTAGATGTTCCATTATTGGTTTTTCTATAGTTTAGAATCCATTTAATTCTAATAATGCAGACATTTCAAAACACACATAGGGGTATCCTGTAACTCTTCTAGTTATGAGGTATCAGGGAGAAGTCTAGCTCAAGGAAAAGATTAGAGAACAATTTTTTCATTATAAATTTGTATTTTTCTCCCTTTCTTATTATCTGAGCAGCAGCACAGAATACTGTTTTCATGGGAAAAGCTGATTCTTCTCTGTATAATTCTCAGTGAAGGAGAAGCCTAATCCTCCTTCTTTATCTTCTGTGCCTGTCAACCTGGTTACCTGCTTGCATCAAGGAGCATCCAGCAAATGTTTTCCACAGGAATACTGGAGTCCCAATCTAAATTAGGCTCATAAAAGAATAGAGACACACTCTGCTGTTCAGAAGTAAAGCCTTTGACACCTTAAACTCAAATAAGTGATTCAGCAACAAAGTATGCTGTAAATTTACACAGGCCCAACTACTACTTTTTCTAGCATTTGAACAGTTCACAGTTTATTGTACAAAATGGTTGATAAAATATCAACCCATATCTTTCTCTGTTGTTAAAGGATTTTAATAATTAAGCTATGTTAGACTAAGGAAAATATTGGGTAAGCTACCTACAAATAAGAAAGTCTATCTCTTTTGAATGATTATTACACTGAAGAAACTGAAGACTACGTTTTGCTGAAAAGAGCACATTTCCAAATTGTGTTTTATGTGTGTAAATGCTCTGTTTCAGACCCAGTTTTCGGCGCACAAATTGGTTTGACCCTGTGGGTCGTGAGTATAAACAGGTTATGGAAAAAGTTGGTGTGATTGACCTGTCACCATTTGGCAAGTTTAAAGTAAAAGGCACAGATTCTGTTAAGCTGCTGGATCATCTATTTGCAAATGTTGTTCCAAAGGTAAATGGGACAATAACTGTTCTGATGTAGGATTTTAGACAAACCAGATCTGTTTCAGAAATGGATAATAAAGCATAATATTATTGTCATATCTCTCAGATACCAAACACACAGATCCTTTGGAGAAATTGCTGTGAAATACAACTGAGTTGTATTTCACTCAGTTAAAAGCATGGACAGTGGGGTTTATACCAAAGTAGCCCCATGTAAAAGTATCTTTTGGCACAAATCATTGAATTGTAGAATGGTTGAGGTTGGAAGGGACCTCTGGAAGTCACCTTGTCCAATCGCATGTTCAAGCAGGTCGCCTGGAGCTCATTGTCCAGGGCTATGCCCACATGGCTTTTAAATATCTCCAAGGATGGAGACTCCACCAGCTCTTTGGGCAGCCTGTTCCTGTGCTTAGTCACCTTTACAGTAAAAAAGTGTTTCCTTGAAACACAGAACCTCTGTGTTTCAAATCTTCATCTAAAGAAGTCCGAGAGAATCTCACTGGGAATTCTTTTACAGTAGTAGGAGAATAGCGTGGCAGCTGCCTGCCTAGAACTCTGCTGTGGCAGCTTCCAGCAGCAGGGGAGAGCAGTCAAAGGTGCTCTTTCCTGACCATAGCTGGATGTCATATTCTCCCAGGATGCCCAAGGGAACAGTTTTGTTGTTTGATTGGTTGTTTTGTTGGTTTGGGGTTGTTGGTTTGTTTTTTTTTTTTAATGTGACCCTTGTTTATTTTCCACCCCCCTCATACTGGCTGTTTTAAAGATGGCTGCCTGAGGCAGGCAGGGTTGCAAACATTCAGGATATTCAGCTTTCAGCTCACACCTGTCTTTTCTCCACACTTGTGGCTGCTCAGAGATCCTCAGAATGTGATCCTGTTTTCAAAAGCGGCACACTGTGACAAATTACCTTGGGTCTCAGTTTATGGTAGTGCTCCATGAGTGTCTTTATCTTCCTGCTTTGTTAACCACTCTGATCTAGTGATTTTAACTTCAGAGACAGAGCAAGCAGATTGTTCCTTTCTGAAATGCTACAGCCATGGGGTTTGCTCATTTCAGCACAGATTTTTAGTAAGTTTTTGCTGCAGGTGGTGATTTTAGCTGTTTCAGACAGCAGAGGGAGGAAGCACAGGGAAACAGTAGCTACAATTGAGGGTAGACAACTTCTCAGAGGTCAGAGCCAACTGAATGGGAAGACTGTACACAACAGTGGTGCCCCATAAGTTCAGGAGAAAGAAGCGCATGAATTGCCATGTAATCATATTTTGTACTGTATTAATTTAAATATTGAAAGTTTGTCTTCTTTCTAGCTTGAGGTAGAGGTGGGGCAACTTATCAGTGGACATGGATAACACTTTGCTGAATATATTTGTATGGTGGGGGAAAGCTGGGTTAAACAGGAAATTATGAGAATGAAGCCAGTGCTTTCTATGGAGTTTAGTCAGTATTGCTATGGGGAAAAAGAAAAAAACACGGCAAAATAACAACAGCTTATGAGTCCACTTAAAAGTCCAGTGTTCACAACAGTTGCTTATTTAAGCTGTCTGTTTTTTGGGACCATTCATGCTTATCTGCATCATAAAATAATTCAGTGAAGTTACTGGAGATATACTTGTTCACAGACAGGTTGAGTGTGACTACAATCAGATGCTGAAAATTCAATTATGTGCCTGTAAGATGCCAGTAACTATATTAATGTAATATGACATTGCAGAAGAATGTTAATATCTGCAATATTTCTCCTTTTTCCATTCATTGTCTGGAAGCTAGGTACTGGCAGGGTGATTGACAAGGTTCTTATAAGAGCAGGATGAAATAAGAGAGAATAAATTCTGCCTCTAGAACCAGACCAGCAACAACAGCTATGGCACATTCATGTTTTTGTTTGCATGAATTGTATCTGTATGAACATATACATGTTTTATGGTCACAGCTAAGTAACTGTTATTTGAACTTTTGCCTCTAGAGATCATGTTTCTACATGGAACCCAGTTCAAAAGTAGAGATGAATGTTCATAGTCAGCAACCACATAAAATATAAAAGCATACATAAATCAGGGCCACAAAAGCATAAGCCAGCTCAGTATTTCTTTCTTTAAAGTAAGGAGCAAAGTAGTGTTATCCTTTTAAGATCTGAAACCCTTATTCACATGACTGAGAGTATTTATGCCAATAAGACAGATTTTTTTATTCTGATGATCAGAGAAAAAGCTAAAATTGATTGAATTTGCATTGAAGATGCATTCTTAGATCAAACATAGCTTAAGAACACCTTGTGTAATACATAAACAATATTTGCAAAGGTCTTGATTTACCTCATTTCAAAAATTTCAATTCTTTTATGAAGGAGAATGTGAGATTTCCACTGTAAGACGTAAGCCTGGCCAATTGTGTATCTGTCTGCTCCTATGATGGCATAGCAGAACAAACATAAGAACATTCTTTCAAGGAAAGACATATTTCTATATATTTCATAATGTTTAGGAATTCAAAGGGTTTATTTTGCATTCTTAATAACAGCAAATTCTACTCTGTAGGTGGGTTCCACAAATATAAGCCATATGTTAACACCGAGAGGAAAAGTTTATGCTGAGCTAACAGTCTCTCAACTGTCTCCTGGAGAATTTATGCTTGTAACTGGCTCGGGTTCAGAACTCCATGATCTGAGGTTAGTTTATTTTTGATACAGTAAGTACACAGTGCTATACAGTTGCATTAATATAGAAACCTTTTCACTAAGTGCCAAATTCTTAATTATTACTCAACAAACCTTTTTCTAGGTTAAAGAGAATTCTACTTATTTATTGATTTTGGTTTCTTAGAAACTTGGTTGAGTTGAATCCTAGAGTATAAGCAGTTGGATTATCGTTGATGTAAAAGGATGGAGAATTTACTGATAGTTATGTAATACACTTCAGTGGAGGTAGTTCTTGTTTTATTGTTTAACCTGTTTGTGTTTGGCATTGAATGATGAAACAGAGCATAGTTGTTCCTTTCTAGTGTTTTCTCTTACGCAAAAAAGAAAATTGGCTTTGAACATGGATGACCCCATGGGCACTGACCTAGCCAACACAGATGGGTAGTGCAGTCTTCCTGACACTGTGGTAATGTCTTCTGCTTTGGGCTCTGGAGTCACAAAGCAAAACAACAGAAAGAAAGGAGTTAGAAGCAGTTGCAGGATGACTTCAGTAAAAACGCTTTCCACAGATGAGAATTGTAAGTGACATTTCTAGTGCTCTAAGTGGCTGTACATACATACTAAGAAAAATAATTTTTTTTACTGGAGATTGCTGACAAATAAGTTACTCAACATGAATCAACACATAGAAGACTGAAATTTGCTACCCCAACATATGATGAATAATGTGCTGTTTCATAACAGTCCCATGGGAATCAGTAGGACCACTGGCACATTCAGGAATTAAACGGCAGAACCAGACCTAATGCATTTACTTCTACAGAATTTCAGAAGTCCTGTTTGGTAGTCCCCTGTGCCTAGATCTTTAAATACTGCCTCAGAAAGCAGTACTTTATAAGATTTTTAAATATACTCCTTTCATTTATTTTATGAGCTTCCTGAAAGACAATACCCAGCTGGTGGTTTTGATTAAATCAAAACTCAAAACTGAACTTCCTGCCAATATTTTAAATACTGTATTCAGGAAGGAACAAGCCTGGTTGTACATTTCTATTGACAGTGGAATTTATTTTGAGATTCTTGTGTTCACTGTGTTTATTGCTCACTCTTTTTATATGTTGACTTTCTACTGACACATTTTGCATCCGAAAGCAAGTCTGTATTCAGTTCTATGAGCTCCTTCTTTGTCTCATATTGAAAATACTGGTCCATCCATTCCAATTCTCTCCTTTCCTGACTGTACCCCAGATGCCTGTGGTCCTATACCAGTATCTCACCGGAAGAGACTGTTCTAACATCAGTGACAAATTTGACTATCTAGTGTAGCACATACTTCCCTTGGTTTTGAGAAGGTGTGGGACTGGGAGCTGCTGGGAAGATGAACACTAACAAAAAAATACTCCTTTTTAATCTTTATCTAAATCAGTTGTTTTGCATAAAAAAGTTTAACATCACTGTTGTGTTTTACATGCAGATGGATAGAAGAGGAAGTAACAAGAGGTAGCTATAAAGTTGAAATAGAAAACATGACAGATGAGATGGGAGTACTTGGTGTAGCAGGTCCATATGCCCGACAGATCCTCCAGAAGCTGACAAGTGAGGATCTGAGTGATGGTTCATTTAAGTTTCTCCAGTCTAGACACTTGAAACTTTCTGATATTGCTGTTACTGCCATAAGGATATCATACACAGGTAAGCAATGGAGAAAATGGACTCTTAAGGAAAGAGGCAGTAATTAAAATAATAAGTGTAACTAAAATTATGTTGAAAAATAAATGTCATCATGTATTTATAAGCAATATGTTCAGAACATTTTATATATAAATGCATGAGGAAATGCAGTACATTGATTTTCAAATGTGATCTGGTCAGGGTCTGTGCTGAGTTTTCCAAGACCTGTTTCTCTAGAATACCCTTTAGTGTAAATATTTATTTGACAGAACAAAAGGCCAGTTCTGATAACCTCTGTGATATTTGCTGCAAAGCCAACGTCAAGAATTGGGTTTGGATTACTGTATATTAGTGTTTGTCAAGTGCCTTGAAAATGTAACACTGTAATGCTCAGTATTTGTTTTTCTCAGTTACTTTTTATTTTTATGTCTATCTCTACTGCAATGGGCTGAATTCAGGCCATTCTGGATCAGCTGAAGCCCTTGTCTTTTGCTGTACTAAATATGATAAAATATACTAATTTTATGCTTATTTACACACAGTTATATTTGCTGTTCACTTGACAAGCCATCATCTGTTTATAATGCCCTTGTAATGACCATTTCTCGTTATGACTTCACTACATGACCTTTTCTTATCAGTTATTCTGATTCCCTCCTCCCGCTCCACCCCAGATCTAGGGCATAACTCATCTGCTGGTTCTTGCAGGGAATTAGCCGTGATGTATGATAGCAGAGTTGACCCTAGAGTGTGAATTAGCACTTACAGCATTGATCCCCACTTTTTACCAAGACAAGGAATGTGTTTATTAGGATTGTTTCATTGCTGAGCTGATGAAACTGTTAATCTTGTTTGTATAACAGGTGAATTGGGCTGGGAGCTCTATCACAGAAAAGAAGATTCTCTAGCTCTTTACAGTGCAATCATGGAAGCTGGCCAAAAAGAGGGAATTGACAACTTTGGAACATATGCTCTGAATGCTTTGCGGCTGGAAAAGGGTTTCCGAGCCTGGGGGGCAGAGGTCAGGAAGTAGAACTTCTTTATTATTCTTTCTGCTTATTTTTTTTTTATTTCATTAAGACTCTGGAGCTTTTAGCCAGAGGTAGCTCAGATAGTATTTGTTCCAGTTTCTCAGTTTAGCATGAAAAGAAAACTTACCTTGAGCAGGAAAAGCTGCTATAGTTCTGAACAGTGTGTTTTCTAAATAAAAATAACTAGTATACTCCATTGCACTGCTGGCACAGAGACACTTATTTTGATTCACTGATGTTTTCCCCTCTTGTGTATAACAAAATCATGAGGGTTTTGCTGAGCTCTAGTGTTTTGAAATCAAAGGTTTGGCTGATATGTTCTGAAAATGTTTTATTTCTGTAATAACTATGCCATGAGAGGCCAATTATTCTTGCTTCGTAATGTATTTGGAACTTTTTCATTTCCCATTAGCTTGTTTTTGCCAAATTTGCTCATTCACAATGTAGAACTACTCAGGGACCCTAGAGAACCTGGGGAAAATTGGTATAATTTCTGCTTACATTAAATTTTTCATAATTCCTTTGAAAAGGAAAGAACTCAGGAAGGTGAAATAGTGGGTATTTAGGGGTCATTTTCGTTTGCCCAATGATAGTTATTTTCATTCTTGCTTTAAATTGTCTAACAAATCATTTCCCCTACACCTAATGGGAAGGGGATAAATAAAATTGGCTTTGTGTTTTATTTTCCTCTGCAGCTATGGCATTCTGCTGTTTTGCAATTAATATGCATACCTCAATTATTCAGTTTTCTGCAGGTTCCATTCTGCTTTGATGAAAAGTCTTGTTTCTTACTGAAATGTGTGTTTACTTTGCCTGTTGAAACTTAGATGAGTGATTTCCATGTCTATATATTAGGCATAATAATAGATATCCTGTTAAAATCACATGTAGGAAGCATACAGTGTATTCAAATGGAAGTTGCCTATATGCAACATGGAAGACTTAGACCCAGGTGTAAATAGAAGGCTGCACGGAATAACCAAATAAATACTCCACAGCCCCAAAGCTAAAAGCTAGGACAGTCCATCATGGACGGATGGCAAATTTTTTTTTTTTTTTTTTTTAAACCAGATGAACTGTGACACTAATCCCTTGGAAGCTGGGCTGGAATACTTTGTCAAGCTAAACAAGGTATGCCTTATTATTTTCAAAGTGATGTATTATGCCCAAGGTTATTCTTTTAAGTCTTTGAAAAGAAAAATTTAATTATCTGTAAAATAAAATAGGTTTAGAAAATGAACTCAGCAAGTTGTTTTCTCTGTATATAAGAATAATTATTAAGTATTGATTTGTTTAAAAAAAAGGTTTGTTATTTTTCTGTTTCTTGCTAACAGGGTTATACATTAGGTCAGAAATTTGCAAATACTCCATGTTTTCTACATGAAAATTAACTCTTTGTGATTTATCTTCATAGAGAAATTTGACTTGTGCTTTTGCAAACATAAAGTATCTATATACAAGCTGAACAAGCCTATTCATATTCTGAAAACATTTAACCTGCTTATTCTTGTTAGAGGAGTTGTCTGTAGGATCATATTCCCTGGCTACCACTCCGGTACAGCAATTACTGAAAAACCCCAATAGATCTCTAATGTAAATTGGGTGCCCTAAAGGAAGGGATATTCCTGACTTAATCTTTCGCCTCAGCTTTTAATCTGTAAAATAGAAAAAGGGCAAATAGAGAAACTTTTTCACAAGAGAGATCAAGAAGAACAAGTAATGTTTATGAGACATTTCATCTTTATAGTAATATAATGTGATACAGATATAAATTCTATTCTTTATTTATGTTCTTTTTATACCTGAAAGGGTAATAAATCAGATAAAAAATTACCCTTGATATTTTTTCACCATATTACATGGAGGCACTGGGGAACTGATAAAAGGAATCCCAAACTTTTAAGTTACAGCTTTAAATAAACAACAAATCTTAAAATTTGGGCAGGCAAGAATTATGGAGGCATGTTAGATTAAAAAAAGTGCATTTATCTTTATGAGACAATTTCACTGAGAGTAACAAGGATGAACCCAGGAAGAATTTCCTCTCCAGCTGTTCAACCTGTCTGTAGATAGTAAAGTTCTTCAACCTGTTCAGGACTGATAAAACACTCATTTTTTGTCCTAATCTAACATCAGTGTGTGCTTTAGCATGAAATACAAGTTCTGAACTTGTCCTTGTTCAGCTATGGAGCTTATCCACTGGAAGGCAAGATGCTCCAGGGGTATCAATGGCAGTTCCTGTATGAAGTGCAGTTACAGCTGTCTCCACTGGGTACTGTAATTTTGCCCAAATCAAAAAAAATTACACATACAAGGGATATATTGTGGAACAGAATATTGTTCAATTTACTCATCAAGGATGTTCCCATCTAGAGGAGAGAATTAGCAGGATTAAAATTGTTAATATTTCTGGGTTTTCTTTCACTTCCATTTGATTGATCTGTTTGGGCATTTTATTTTTAATCTTTATTATTCTTTTTTTTAGTGTAAGCAGGAAAGCAGCCATGAGCGAGGAAAGCTGTTTCTTGCCAAGATGCCCATGCAGAACATGCAAAGGCACTGATATGCATGAAGCACTTGAATCTTTATTGCTCCGTGCACTTCTGGGGTTGGAACAGCTTTCTGGAGCGAGTATTCTCATTGTAGATGAATGGGCGTGGAATGAATCTCCAGCATAGATGCAGAATGTCAGCCTAAAACATTGGCCAGCTTTGCTGAACTAATGTGAAAAAGGAAATAATCAATGTTTATTTGTTGACTCAAATGAGGGCAGTTGTGACTGTATGTTGACACTGCAGAGGTACCTGAGTTAACTCAGATATTGGAAGTGGTCTAAACACTGTAGCATGAAGTGCAATGGGAGATTATTTACTCAGCTTCTTGGCAGCTTGGGGCTGTGAGTCCCAACTCCATGACTCTGGTTTTGGTGTCTGTTTACCATGGCATAGACCTCAGCATACCTTAGAGGCCACCGTGACCGAAGACAAGAAAAATACTCTGTCCTCTGCTCCTATTGTTTAGGAAACTTTCTGCAGAAAAGGGCAAATAGGATACAACTACAAGCGGCAGATACTTAAATCTGTGTGACATCTTGGTCTGTAGGGTTACTGACAGGGATTGTTCCTTTAACTATACGCCCCCAACTGGGGAAAGTGCCTATTTCTGTGGAAATTAAAACCAAAATGCACTGCTCAGTTAATCATATAGTGCTTTAAGAAGCACAGCAACAAGCAGCTGAAATAGCTCACAAAATAGGCAAAAAGACTACAACCTAAGTGGATTTCAAGTGGTATGTCATGGAAGAAATAAACAGCTGCTAAATAGATTAAAGTGAATGAACAACCAAGTGCCAAGTAACAACTCTCAACCAAGTGAGAGTAACACAATCAAAAAGTATTTTAATTTCCATGAGACGGCATTCAAATATCTGGGGAATAAATACAAAGAGATGTAAATGTAATGCTGGTGTTAGTTGCTTCCTCGCGCAGACGGGCAGAGTGGACTGTGATTAAACCAAAGCAGAGAGACAGTAACCGAGTTAATGGTCTGATTTAGAGTATACATTGTCTTCATAACTTTACAGCAAAATCTGTCTGGATTAGCAGTAGGATTGGCTTTTACTATCTGTCATCTTTCTTTCGTTTGTTCAATTAGTGTTACATTTAGTAAATTAGATAGTTGCTAGGTAGCCTCATTCGCTAATACTTTCATCTAATGAATAAGCACTCTGCTACTAAATATTTAAGAGTCCTAATGGTCTTCGTGGCAGGAAATTCATGGAATACAACTAAAGAAGAAAAAGTTGCAATTCTTTTTTTCTCCACATCCCAGAATATTGTTTTAGTTCTGCTGCACATTTGAACTTTCTCAGGTTCAAGTGGTCAGAGATATAGTGTATCACCTCTTAATGCTTTCTACTTTTCAAAACCCTGGTTTAAATTTAATGGCTTTTCCAAATACTACCCCACAAAAAGATAAGCAATCACCAGATATTAATTTACTCCAGACCTTTGTTCTATGGCAGACTCAACTCCATCTGTGTTTACCTTGCCATACGAATAAAAATATAGTGTATGAAATTACAGAGACCTCTCAGTCCCGGAGATCCCACAGTCTCCCTGGGCAGTCCATTCTAATGATTTGCTAGCCTTATATTGGAATGTTTTCTTGCTACGCTTGAAACTTATCATTGATTATTATGTTCAATATTGGCATACAGAAAAAAATAATTCCTTATTTCAGAAGCTGCTCACATGTTCAAGACCTGCTAGCATGTGCCTTTCTCGTGTTCTGAAGTGGTTGATTGTTGGTAGCTAAACCAATATTCTTAAAATAGCCTATTTTTCTCCTGAGCATAACACACTGTAAGTTCCAATAAAACTTGGTGTTAGAGTGAAACACATCCACGTCAATTTGGGTAGCTCAGGAAAATGAATTCTTTCAGGAGGTGTTTCTATGTAAACCCAATAGTGTCAACAGTCATCAAGAGCGTACAGCTACGAAATTCGGTAGTTCACCGTTTTCCGGTTTGTGACCTGTTTTGCTGTATCCTAGGCTGCCATCTCCTGGGCATTCCCTCTGCCGCAACTGCTCACTGCGGTTTGGGAAGAAAGTGCGGCAGGGAGCGGACACCCTCTGGAACTCTGCCCCACTGCGCTCTCCCAGGCCGGGATCTGAGTGCTTAGCTGAGAGTTGGTGTTTGTTTCCTCGTGGAGGAAATACCGTTACCAGAGAGAGTGTTTCTTTGTTGCAGCCCTTTTTATTTACTGGGACAGTCTCTTTGTTCTCCATTCCAAGCTTTTTTACAACACCCAGAATCTCGCTACCTTCAATTTTTCTACGTGTACTCTACCAGCACTTATTTTCTTTGTTTTCTGCTGATTTCCTGTCTGCTTCTCACTATTTATGTCTTATGTCCACCGACCCCACTCAGTGACTGCTTGCATTTCAATCTCAAAAAATGCCTTTTAGACTACAAGCCATCTTCTGACCTTGGCATTGGATTTCTGTGGTGTCTTTTACTATCTATTACACACATAAGCATTTAGTTGCTTCCTTCTTCATTATGAACACAAGTTGTGTCACATCCAGCAACCTCACACAGATGAGTGCATGACTGTAAATCAAAGATACAGTCTTTGTGTATTAATCTATACTTATAACTACACATAAGCTATCTCATGGGAAACTAGAATGAGCGTTTGTAAGACTCTGCCTCCACCCTTTTATTCCTTTGGTAGCAGTTTAACCTTATAGATTCATGCCGTCCTCCTTCCAGTCATCTGTTTCCCTGCTGTTCTGTCTGCCAGAACTGCCCCACAGTATGTCACTTCAACTCACTGTGGTCTAAAGTGGTCTAAAGTGATATGTCCGATTTAATAAAGCACAAGATGATAAATCTTCATAGGGAAAAGGCATTTTTTCATCATTCCACAAACACAGTTTGGAGAAAGAACACCAAAAATGGTTGAACTGGCACATTTAGTATCTTTACCAACGATCTGGATGAGGGGATCAGGTGTACTCCCAGTAAGTTTGCAGATCACACCAAGCTGGGTGGGAATCTTGATCTGCCTGAGGGTAGGAAGGCTCTACAGAGGGATCTGGACAGGCTGGATCAATGGGCTTAGGCCAACTGTATGACATTCAACAAGGCCAAGTGCTGGGTCCTGCACTTGGGTCACAACGACCCCATGCAATGCTACAGGCTTGGGGATGAGTGGCTGGAAAGCTGCCCAGCAGAAAAGGACCTGGGGGTGTTGGGCAACATCTGGCTGAGTATGAGCCGTCAGTGTGTTCAGGTGTCCAAGAAGGCCAATGGCATCCTGGTCTGCAGCAGGAACAGTGTGCCCAGCAGGACTAAGGAAGCAATTGTCCCCTTGTGCTCAGCACTGGTGAGGCTGCACGTCGAGTGTTGTGTTCAGTTTGGGCCCCTCACTACAAGAAAGACATTGAAGTGCTGGAGTGTGTCCAGAGAAGGGCAACGGAGTTGGGGGAGGGTCTGGAGCACAAGTCCTGTGAGGAGCGGCTGAGGGATCTGCGGCTGTTTAGCCTGGAGAGGAGGAGGCTCAGAGGAGACCTTATCGCTCTCTACAGCTCCCTGAAAGGAGGGTGCAGAGAGGTGGGGGTTG